AAAGATATGGCCTGGAATAGAGCTGACTGGAAGAAAATGCATGAATTAGTTGCACCGACAAGAGGAAATTCTTAATTGAAAATAGATTCATTAATAGTATGTGTGTAAAGCAGACTTGATGCTAAAAGCATTCTCTCCCAGTCAACCATAGGGAAGTGTCAGAATACTCGAATGCTGTACTAGTAATTATTAATATACATACATACTAAAATTTACATATATAGATCAATAAATACATGTAAATAATATAAAAATATATTTTATAATTTTTCTATTTATTTATATAACTCTTTTATTTATATAATTTATTATTGTATTTCTTTGTAATAATTATTTTTATCTAACTAATTTATAACCACTGTAATAGCATATTCTAGTCATTAAGATTTTTTAAAAATTATTTTCTTGTTTTTTTTTTTTGGCAATAATGTCACAAAAAATGCTTAACAAATTCACGCGAACAATAATGCCAGTATCGTTTTACTTAAAATATGAATGATTACTTACGTATTTCATTTCTATGAAGGAATATTTTTATAATAAAACAAAGGCGGGTACTATCGTTTATGTGAAACTTAATATTAAAAAAGTTGGGAATAAATTTGTCCTCTCTCATACAATACTCTGAGATGCATCTTTCAACATACGGAATAGGGGCTTCGTTCCTTTATAATGTTTTGTCGGTGTCATGCTGAACTTTGCAAGACTTTTCACGATAAATACTTCAAAGTTTCTTTTAAACTTTATTCGAGCATGTTATAAATCAATATAGGGAAATAAATCATATATTTTTCTATAGAAAAAAATAACTATTCCGATATTAGAAGTACGTAAATGGAAATTGTATATTAGTTAATGGATATTATTGAAGAAATATGGAAAAAGAGCGGAGGCCTGTGTTCAGCAGTGAGCAGTTAGAGGTTGGAGGATATATATATATATATATATATATATATATATATATATATATATATATATATATATATATATCTTTATTTATTTTCCGTCATTATAATTTTCCACGCGGTTCCCTCAGGAAACCATCGTGGTAAATTTTTTGATGAATTTATCACGATGGGCCAACTGATTTGCTTCATCCTCATCTGTCATCCCTCACTAGTGGCCCCTAGTGTACACCGATAGCACAGGCGGGGTTGCCATTCCATTTTCATCCATTAAAAAAACCGTGGCATTTGACATTAAATTTTACGACAAAATTCGATTTTTAAATATTAATAAAAAATAACATTTCCCGGTATAATATTTAAGAGAGATATGTAAAAATGGAAAGAAAATATATTTGTAAATGGATATTATGGGAAAATAAACAGACCTAACACAGCATACAACATTAAGCCGACCTCTTCCGCGAACTGTGTCAGTACAGTCGGCCACAAAAGTATATCAAACTGTCAATTAACGAGTTTAGAGATGGAAATCTTTTGGTTATGTACCTACGATTTGATTCCGCATTTTTTTTGTTTGTTTTTAAACGCCGCAAGATTTATGTTAGCTTAATTTTTGCGGTAGCCGGTCGGGCTTTGTTTGTGGCGAGGTGAGATGCGGAGATTGCTTTGTGTTTTTTAACGCGGTAAAGTTTGGTTTTTATTTTAATAAACGTTTCGTATTCGTGATAACTTAATGTTACCTTTGTTTTGATTTAATATTTTCAACCGACTTTCGATTCGTGTTTCTTTCGTGAAGTAGCTGTGTTTGCATGGCTGTGTTTCGGTTTGAAGGGTGGGATATGGCGTGAATTTACTGGGTACGGAGGAATAACACCTGAGTCCTCAGGAATGTCAACGCATGGAGGGTATCATAGGGGAAACAGTATACTCTGTTATGTCCATGGTACCGCTCATGTCTATAGGCGACGGTTACACTACATCAGGTGGGCCGTCAGCTTGTTTGCCATTCTAAGTTGTATAAAAAAAAACAAAATTGTATGCTAATTAGAATAGCAAACAACCTGACAGCCCACCTGATGGAAAGTGGTTACCGTTAACCGAAACATAGCCATGCAAACACAACTACAACTGCTTCACAGTAGAAACACGAATGAGACAGATGTACCCAAGCAAACGACTTTTGTACAAATATATCTGCATCATGCCTCTTAGGACACCCACGGGAATGGGGAGGGGTGGCGTATTCGATGCCGGGACCACATGGACATATAAAATATTTATAGATGGGTATTTAAATAATTAAACATAACACTTTTATTGCTGACATTACAAATCAGCACAATATCATAACATGCCTTTAATATCGACATAATAATCCCATCCCGGCTTGAAAGAGATGGATTGTAATTAGGTGATGAGTGAAAGAGACGGATGCGAAGACACGCAAGTCACGCACAGATATTCTCTGGCGGTAATGACGCGTCAATCAGGGCACACAGATGAGTTTGATAATGTATGGGAGGGAAATGTATAAGGTATTTTTATATATTTTTTATTTTATAATAACTGACCGGATAGACGACGTAATCTTAAGTAACCGACATAGCTCGAAGGATAAGAAAGCTGAAGTGGCAATGGACCGGTCACTTAAGTTGGAAAACCGAAAACCGATGGGGAACAAAGGTTCTTGAGTGGTGACTGCGTACGGGCAAACGCAGTGTAGGACGACGATACATAGTAGGGAGTTGGTTGATGCAGGTGGCTCAGGAACGTTTCTTATGTCAGTCTATGGAGGAGCCTTGTGTCCAGCAGTGGACAGATAACGGCTGATATAACGACGATGACTGGACTAGGACCAGACAAGGAGTACACAGCTTCTGACCCAGGAATGGGCACGTCAGATTTGTGACGACAGTGGCGTTTGCGTGATTTTTTTTTAATTAACGCATAATACGAGTATATTATTTGGCGTACAATTTTCAGTGGCAGCTTCCGGTCCCTGCCTTACTCCCCTGGATACGCCCATGCGAACAGCCATCGTTCTGTCAAAAGTTAGCTTTGACGTCAATATTTGATTGAAGTGTCTACGAATAGTTTGTATAGGAAAAAAGAAAAATGTAGCTATTACGCTTTTTCGTCCAGTTTTTTCCTATTTTCTGTTCATAAGAACGTTTCTCGGTCTTCAAAGAATATTTGAAAAAAAAGTGAGCCAAATTGGTCTAGACTTTTTCAAGTTTTGCGTTTAGCAACATATTTAGCGGTTATACTAAGAATTTGCCCCGGCGTTTTGCGGTGTTTGTAAAAATAAAATAGAAAAATCTTTTAGATTGTTAAAATAGCTTTCTATCTATATTTCTTTCTATTGCTTCGGTTTGAAGGGTGGGGGATATGGCAGTGAATTTACAAGGTACAGAGTGTCATGTCCATGGTACTGCTCATGTCTATAGGCGACGGTTACCACTTTCCATCAGGTGGGCCGTCAGTTTGTTTGCCATTCTAAGCTGTATAAAAAAATTTGAATTACGCAGATATAATAACAAAACACATATTTGCCATTCTAAGAAAAAAATGGAATCAAATAAAATGGATTAAATATCTTTTGAGTTTAGTCTTTACAAACAAAAAAAATCTAACTTTTTCTCTTTATAACATTATTTTAGACAGATAACAAAATATTTTCGTAAAAACCAATTTATAAAATCTTCATTATTTACTAAATCGGATGAATATAATATTTTTCTCTCGCATCACAAACAGATTCTAGGAATAATAAAATGGATCTAGAAAAGGAAAACCTAGAACAATGGAGCCGGGGCAAAAGTTGCTTTAATTAATAAATCCCGGCGTAGTAATGCCAAGTGTTCACAGTGCGACTTGACAAGGCGAGATTAATAAATAATTGTAAAACAAAAGCACACAATGTTCTAGATAAAAGCGTTGTGGCTCGGTTGTTTTTGTACAACAAAGGTGGCGATAGCATATGGCTTGATCATAAACGATTACTGTAGTTAATGGACCTATGGCCTATAATATTTATGGCCTATAATACTTACACCCATAGACAAAACTATAACTTATAAAAAATATTCATCATGAAGTAATATTGTTACGAATACCACATTACCAGAGGGAGACTTTGTACAAAAGTCGTTTGCTTGGGCACCTCTGTTCCGTTCGTGTTTCTGCCGTGAAGCAGTTGTGTTTGCATGGCTGTGTTTAAAGGGTGGGATATAACAGTGAATTTACAGGGTACAGAGGAATAACACCTGAATCCGCAGGAATGGTAACGCATGGGGGGTATCATGGGCGACGTACTATGTTATGTCCATGGTACTGCAAATGTCTTTAGACGACGGTTACCACTTTCCATCAGGGGGGCCGTTAGCTTGTTGCGGTTAAAAGTTAGTGAGTAAATTAGTTTATTGTTCCGTGTAGTCCCGGCATAGAATAGGTCTCCCCCTTGGAGGGTTTTGCTAGTAGTTGCCACGCTTGACATTGGCAACCGCAGTTAAGCTTTGGACATGTTTGTTGTTTAGGTATACAATGGATGTGTACCAGTGAAGGATAACAGATGATGATGAAGCAAGTCAGTTGGCGCACCGTGACGAATTCAGCCATAAATCAATCATGATGGTTTCCAGGGGGAACTGCGACAGGTCGAGCGGATAGATCATATTGCTAGCAATGGGACTGCTAAGCTCCGTTACTAACAATCCCCTCTCCCCCAATTGGTATTATTTTTCAACCAACTTCAAAAAGAAGGATGTTCTCGATTCGGTTGTATTTTTTTCATGTTTGTTACCTCGTGACTCCGTCAGTTGTATAATTATTTTTATGTCCGCAAGGATATTACAAAGTGGTACCATAAAAAAATCATTAAAACCGGCTCATTGGTTTATTTTTTAAAACAATTAAAGATGGGTTTTTTTATGTGGAACAATCTAATTTTTAATAATAATAATAATAATTTTTATTTTGGATTTATTTGGTCCATTAAATATTTATTAGTAACAATATTCTTAAAACTAATATTTACTTAATAAATTGCATTCATGAGAAGTTAATTTATTAATGAAAATCATAAGTACTTACAATTGATGTCTATGGATATGTTCTCGGACACTGGCGTTATTGAAGGGTCCGTAACGGCCTGTAAAAGAAATACATTTATTAAGAAAAATTCTGATTGGCAATGTATTAGGCGATTATGTTTAAACAATATTTATATAACAATTATACACAACTAGCTGTATCCCACGACGTCACTCGCGTCAATTAATATACAGGGTGTAAGGGTCAGGTTGGCCGAAACTGAAACAGCGAGTTTCGGTTTGAAGGGTGGGATACGGCGTGAATTTACTGGGTACAGAGGAATAACATCTGAGTCCTCAGGAATGGCAACGCATAGGGGGTACAAACATCATGGGCGAAACAGTATACTCTGTTATGTCCATGGTACTGCTCATGTCTATAGGCGACGGTGACCACTTTCCATCAGGTGGGCCGTCAGACGCCATATCCCACCCTTCAAACCGAAACACAGCCATGCAAACACGACTGCTTCACGGTTGAAACACGAATTGGACAGAGGTACCCAAACAATCGACTTTTGTACAAAGTCTCCCTCTGGTTTTGCGTAAAAGAATAATAAACATATATCCATCCCTCCGACGTTACAAACTTTCGCATTTATAATATTTACGGGATAACCAATCAAGTGTTTAATTACAAACAAATGCATTTGTATGTGTGACGGAGACGAATACAATGTGTCACTATTTCTTGGGTACCTCTGTCCCACTCGTATTTATGATATAAAACAGTTGTGCTTGCGTAGTTGTGTTCCCATTTGAAAGATGAGTTATGACAGTGAAATTACTTGGTCCGGAGGTATAACAGCTTAATCCTGGGGGGAAAGGGATAGTTAGTAATGGAGTCTAGTGGTTCCATTGCTAATAATATACCCTATTAGATCTCCACGTGGTACCCCCTGGAAACCATCGCGGTTGTCACGAAATTCGCCACGATGGGCAAACTGACCTGCTTTCATCCTCACCTATCATCTCTCACTGGTGCCCCGCCAGTGTACACCGATAGTGCAAGCAGGGTTGTCATTCCATTTTAACCCATAAAAACACCTTAGTCCTAAGGAATGGCAACGCATGAGGTCTCTGTACATTTTGTAATGTACATGTCTATAGAAGATGGAGCGATTACATCAAATGCATTGCAGGAAGTCAATGAATGCAGGTGGCTCAAGACAGGTTCCTTATGGCAGTGTATGGGGGAAGCCTATGTTCAGCAGTGGACAGGTAATGGGTGAAATAATGGTGATTATGTTTATAGGTGATGGTTAGTTTCCACCAAATTGTTGGCCACTCTAAAGATTACATAGTGACTTCATACCTGACATGTGACGTGGGTGCCGAAGTCTGACCTCCGAAGCCTGAAGGAGACGGTGGCTCTCGCTTCGGAGTTGGCGAGGAGTGCGTGAGACTTCCACCAGGATATCCTCGCTGTTGGGCGACCTAAAAATATGGAAGAAACATTAAAATACTAGCGTATACATGCGAATTCGTCTGCATGGCCGAGACATGTTCGTTAATTAGGATCAAAAGTAGCGGGAAATTATGGAATGGTGTACTCGTGGTGTATTCTCACGGTATACCATTGCGGAGCATCAGTAGTGGATGGACCGATGAGGATGGAGGCAGGTCAGTTACATCTTTTTTTTTTAACGTGTGGAAAATCTACAGCAATACCGTCCCATCTGCTGGAGGGAGGGCAGCTGGGGTGTGTGGGATTCGTACCCACTAAAAACCACACGACGTACCTCGAGGCGCTTATGTAGGATCCCGGGTTCCCGTTTGTAAAACTACCGAGTAAGGTCAGTTACATCCTAGCATCGTCATCACATCAGCCTCTAACTGTCCACAGCTGAACACAAACCTCCCTTGTCTTGGGGGATTTTGCCAGTAGGTGCTAAGCTTAGCAGGATTGGCAACCGCAGTTAGGCTTTAGAGGTGTTTTAAAAGGGACGTTGATGCCCATCCCTCAGCCTCCCTTAGTCGACTCTTATGACACCTACGGGAAAGGAAGGGATGGTCTATTCTATGCCGGTGACCACACGGCCATTCTAGTAGGATTATATGAGTATTTACATCAATTTTCTCTTTTTTACATAATATTACTAATAATAATAGTAACCGTTTTACTTACAACATACTTCTCGTATATTTTTATCCCAAATATCTCCCATGTTATTTGAGAAAAAATAATACGAGGGATCTTAATCAGAACAATAGAAGTCAGAATTTTTATTTTGACTTCATGCAAAACCTACTGTACCAAATTTGATGTAGTTTTCATAACTGTATTCCTGAAGGTATAATTAAAAATTTGGATATGTTTTTTCACCTCTGTCCCATTCGTGTTTCTTCCATGAAGCAGTTGTGTTTGCATGGCTGTGTTTCGGTTTGAAGGATGGGATATGGCGTAAATTTACTGGGTACAGAGGAATAACACCTGAGTCGTAAGGAATGGTAACGCGTGAGGGGTATCATGGGCGAAACAGTACACTCTGTTATGTCCATGGTACTGCTCATGTCTATAGGCAACGGTTACCACTTTCCATCAGGTGGGTCGTTAGCTTGTTTGCCATTCTAAGTTGTATAAAAAAAAATCTCCTACTATTAAAATCCACACGTACAAAGTGGCGGGCAATAGCTAGTTTAGAAATCAATTCAATTTGTTCAGTACATCCGATTCGTTACTGAGACGTCGGGGAGAATATTTTATATCATTTCAGTTGATTTATACGAGGTTTGTCCGGAAAGTACGTATAAAAGTTTTTTAAAAATTTTATTTTACAATTATTCAGGTAAATCAATTTTATCCCCTTCAAAGTACTCCCCCTGTGACATAATGCACTTGTGCCAACGCCGTTTCCACTGTGAGAAGGCTCCTTGAAAGTCCTCTGGTTGTAGGTTTCTCAGCTGCCCCGTCGTAGCTTTTTTATCTCATTTATGTCCCCCAAATGCCGCCCCCGAAGTACCAATTTGGTTTTTGGGAACAAGAAGAAGTCACACGGGGCCAAATCCGGCGAATAGGGGGGGTGTTCGGTCACCGTAATGGAATTTTTACTCAAAAACTCACGGACAACAAGAGAGGTGTGGGCAGGGGCATTGTCGTGGTGAAGAATCCAACGCCCCTCTCGCGCCAATTCTGGACGAACTCGTGCCACACGAGCTTTGAGGCGTCTGAGCACATCGACGTAGAATTTTCCATCAACTGTCTGGCCTGGAGGGACGAATTCGTCGGAATGTGAAGTGGAAGGACGTCCTGAACGTGGGTCATCTTGAACGCTTTCTCGGCCCTCTCTGAATCTTTTTAGCCACTTGTGGACGGTTGGTTCCTTCACAGCATCATCCCCATAAACTGTTCTGAGATCGGCAAAAATTTCACGGCCATTCTTGCCGAGTTTCGAGAGAAACTTGATTACGACGCGCTGCTCTTCAACGGAAGCGGGCTCCATGCCGACGGGGTTTCGTTAAGAGGTAACTTCACAGATGGCGTGACAAGCCAGTTCGCACCGCACGGCGGTCAGACCAGAACTGAAGCATTGTTAGGGACATAAGGAAGGGGTCCTGCGCTTACCTGGCCTCCCCACTCCTCTTTCTCGCATTCCAGAACACTTTTATACGAACTTTCCGGACAGACCTCGTAGATCTACCTAGAATGTCTGTTGATACTCGTACTTGCATTTTATTAAGCCAAAACTGGCTTAAGTAATCAAAAGTAGTATTGTGGAACCACAGTGTAATGAATGAACAGTCAGTGGTCCAGCCTTTGAAGACTCGTAATTATGCCGCGTTTTTTATAGGGTTGTCACATTTTTAACCTTCTAATTCATAAAAAATAAAAATTTCTAGAAATTTATATTAATGTATGCGCTATGTTTTCTGTGTGGCTTCAGCATATAATAAGCTACCCCTTTCTTTCCTGTGGGTGTCGTAAGAGGCGACTAAGAAAATATTAGAGAGAAAGGCAGCAGGGTCCCTCTTAAAATACCTCTAAAAGACTAACTACGGTTGCTAACCCGCATGCTAAGCGTGGCAACTATTATCAAAACCCCCCTTACGGGGAAGGACTATGTTCAGCAGTGGACAGTTAACGGCCGAAATGGTGATGCGCTATGCTACCTTTTTGACATGTCCCAAACAATTCTATGGTAATTCGCCGCCCTTTCCTCAATCCGCAAGATTGCTCTGTCCGGACGTGCGTGTTGGGTGACTGGCCAGAAAATCTTTTAGACTGTGGTAGCACCGTGTAGTATGCAACAGTATTTATTGTTCTACTGCAAATATATTGTTGTGGAGCGAGTTTTACAATGCACTCACTGGATTTTAAATCTTTTAATCGAACAGAGATTTCGTCTGTATTTATTTTAAGAAAATAAAAGGAAAAACACAGTTGTTCTTTACGTTTCAAAAAACAAAAATACTTATAAATAATTTTATTAATCTATACTCTTTATTGTTAAAGACTTCGTAAGCACACATTATATTTTAACGTAATAACTACCGGTTCAACTTACGTGTAATTAGATCGAGCAAGACCGACTAGTTTCGGGATCAATTCGTGATCCTTAGTCATGAGTGATTGGGACGTGAGCACGAGCCTGACTGTATGTCAGGCTTCGTCGTCGCTTTTTCAATTTAATTACAGATAAGTAAAACCGGTAGTTTTTATATTAAAATATCTATACACTGTTACTAAATATATAATATAGTTACTAATAATTTATTATTATTATTTTTGCACCATGTATGGAGTGCTTTATATTTTAAGTATTCTTATGTTATCACCTGTATGTTTTTTTATTGTTTTCTTGGTGTTAGTTTTGTTAATATGTAATCGATGACTTAAGAAAATGTTGTGTACATCTGTAATTGGTGTAAATGCAAGATGCAAGCCCTGTATATCAATTATTAATGTCTATATTTACACTGTTGACGTACCTTTTAAAAATAAATAAATAAATAAACTTTATGGACACTTTCTCCTTTCGGGTTCTCAAAGTTGACTGGAAGAAATCCCTTTAAGGGATAAGTCCGTCTGTGTACATTTTTGTTTTAACCTAATATCTACTATTATCGTCATATCAGCCTTGAACTGTTCACTGCTGAACATAAGCCTCCCCCTTAGGGGGTTTTGCTAGTAATTGCCACGGATCGGCAACCGCAGTTAGGCTTTAGAAATGTTTTAAGAGAGACGCTGTTGCCTATCTCTCGCCCTTCCTTAGTCGACTCTTACGACACCCACGAGAAAGGTAGGAGTGGCCTATTCTATACCGGGACAACACGGCAACCTAATATCTATATTATAAGTAAACGTACAATAGCAAATACACACACATGTAAATACACACACATTGAAATTCTACGGGATGTTTCGTAGACACATTGTATTGAAAAATAGTTTTTTGGCTGTTACTTCGAATTCATAGAATACCGAAGTAGGAAAACCAATTAAATAAATATCTTCTGGATGGCGTATCAAGATATATAAACTATAAGGTATATGTTTAATACATCAATTTTTAAGCTAGAACTTCAGGAATACAACCGAAAATCCCATCCACTTACATCCGCACAGACATGACAGCGACGTTTCTTCTTACATACATTTTCGCTGTTATCCTCTCTATCTCGATCGTTCGCCTCTCGCACTCCTTATTTCTGTTTTTCTAATTTATTTTCTGTATATTTTGTTTATAAATACTTCTGAATATCGTATGGTATCGTATCACCCGTTAACTGTCCATTGCTGAATATGAATTTCCCTCTATAGAGAGGTTTTGTCAGTAGTTGCCACGCTTGGCAGGCGGATTAGCAACCGCAGTCAGGCTTTAGAGATGTTTTAAAAGGGACACTGCTGCCCAACTCTCGACCATAAACTCCCTTGGTCGCCTCTTAGACACCCATGGGAAAGGAAGAAATGGCCAATTCTATGCCAGGACCACACAATCAACCCATCCAACCAACCCAAGATAGTAACTCAGAACAGTTACATGATAATTATTTATTGCAAAGATTGAAGACAAAACTGCAAAGTGAAATAGTACGTTGAACCGGTATACTACCAAGGAAGACCTTCATCTATAAAAATGAAGGTGAAAATGGAATGGTAACCCCGCCTGCGCTATTGATATACACCGGCGGGGGACCAGTAAGGTATGATAGGTGAGGATGAAGCAGGTCAGTTACTCTATCATGACGAATTCAACAAGAATTGTTCACGATGGTTTCCGGGGGGAACCACGTGGAGGTTGACTTAATAGGGCATATTGCTAGCAATATCAAACTCCATTGCTAACAATCCCTTTCCCTCAATCCATCGCTATTTTTTATGGGTGAAAATGGAATGGTAACCTCGCCTGCGCTAACGGGATACGCTGATGGAACACCAGTGAACGGTGATCGATGAGAATGAAAACAGGCCAGTTAGCCCGTCATGATGAATTCATAAAGAATTAACCGTTAACAGTTTCCAGGGAGAAACGCGAGGAGGTTGACTTGGCTGGGTATATTGATAGCAATGGGATTCTTAGTTTCCATTACTAACAATCTCTTCCCCCCAATCCATCGCTATTAAAACCTCTTAGATCAGACCAGCCATTACTTAATTAGTTCTTCATTTATTAACTGGACATATCTAATTAGAGATAACGCGGGTCAGTTTATTTTCCTTTCCCCCACCCCCCACCCGAATGGGTCGTGTCCAAATCTAAGCCCATAACAGTAGAAGTTTAACCCCTATCAAACGTCATGCAGTTTCGTCGGGGACTCCCGTGGGGTGTTTAGCGAAAAATGTCCAATTCACGCATACTGGTGAGATTTGACTCAAGTAATAGGAGGAAGCGGGAGCGATAGCGATTTTCACAATTATTCATGCTACACAAATAATATAGATCGTTAATTAATTAATTTACCAGAGGGAGACTTTGTACAAAAATCGTTTTCTTGGGCACATCTGTCCTATTCGTGTTTCTACCGTGAAGTAGTTCTGTTTGCATGACTATGTTTCAGTTTAAAGGGTGGGATATGACAGTGAATTTACAGGGTACAGAGGAATAACACATGAGTCCTCAGGAATGGCAACGCATGCATTAATAATAACAAGCAAGAAAAAACAAAAAATGTAAAAATCAAGCCAAAACAATTATTCTCTTGAAAAATACAATTTACAAAATTTATATAACGTTGTAATTTTAATTTCCCAATTTCTGCGGTTCCTAATATAGATGGCTATGTTTTTCGTACGCTATCAGTCCATCTATTGGCACATACTATCTATGCTGCTTGACAAGGGTCTTCCCGCCGAGACCCTTTTGTTTTACACGTTTTTTATGCCCAGTTCTCATTCGATGCTCTATTATTTCCTTAGGTATTTTCGTGGTTTCGCAACAATTTTAGAGCTTTGTTAGCTTAGACAATGTAAGCTGCATAGCACTAAACAGGGTTGCGGAAACTGCTACCGTTTATCTCCACCGATTTTTATGGTTTCTTTATGGAACTACTGTTCTTTTGTGTGCCGTAAACATGCAATGTTTGCTGATTCTGGTTTCTATATGGTGTAGTAATTTATTTTAGTGAAAAATACGCGCAATGTTTGTATGAACAATTAGCTGTAAACCTTGGTCTTTGTTGAACTGATTTCTTATAAGGAATGTATTATGTACCTGTTACATGTTTGACTAACGAACATACAAACATCTTCACAAATATTAACATTTATTACATGTTATTAAGACTATATACAATTCTGAGCTATCCTTCCCTCTCATAGTAAAATGCAGTGTCCAGCTGTCAATTTAATATAAAGGTTTATAATTCTTTCACGTTTTTCGATTCATATTTGTTTCGGGGGAATTAGTTTTATTAGTAGAACAGAGGTTGAAATTTAAAATATGCTAATAATTTAAATTTCATTCTCCATATGAATTTTTGTTAAATTTTACCATAAATATATTATTGTCTCCTAGACAGTCTCTCTAATTTGGTCTTTTCTTATTTGTAGTCGCTGTACCAAAGCTAATCTGTGCTTGCTGTATTTTGTAAAATATCATTAATTAATTATACAAATGATTTGCCCCGGCTTCGTACAGGTAGATAGATAGAAAGATAAATTAATTTTTTTTTATACAACTTATAATGGCAAACAAGCTGACGGCGCACCTGATGGAAAGTGGTAACCGTCGCCTATAGACATGAGCAGTACCATGGACATAACAGAGTATACTGTTTCGCCCATGATACCACCCATGCGTTGCCATTCCTGAGGACTCAGGTGTTATTCCTCTGTACCCAATAAATTCACGCCATATCCCACCCTTCAAACAAAACACAGGCATGCAAACACAACTGCTTCACGGTAGAAACACAAATAGGACAGAGGTACCTAACCAATCGACATTTGTACAAAGTCTCCCTCTGGTTTTATTAGCTTTAATTATCAAATTTTTATATCTTACGTTACATTTAATTAATTAATATTTTCTTAGAAATCTTTTATTTTTTAAATAATATATACCCTATGTTACTTGCTGATAATGCAGCTTTCTATAGGTGAGAGAATTTTTAAAATGGTAAGTATGGTAAGGAATTTTTATTGATTTACACTTTTGCCCACATTAAAATATGTCTACAGGGCGGATTTAATGCCTGATGTCATTCTCTACCAGTCCTTTTTAGTGTATGTATTACAAACAAACATATTATGTGTTTCCCTTCATCAATTTAAATTCGATCTTTAGGTATCTGTATGAATAGATGGATGCACCGTAAATTGCAATGTGCTCTTAATTACCTCTCAAACTCTCTAAACTAAATAATAACTAAATAATTAACTATTAACCAGTCTAGACTCTAGACTCATTATTTTGTTGAAACGTAATACTTTAACTTGGAGATAAGTTAATTTTCTCCACAATTTACTGCTTCGCGTGACCACAAATAACTTTATTTTTGACATGTAAGCATAAAAAATATATTTCGCTGCTCTTTCTGTTTATACAAGTACATTTTTAACCGTTATATAAAAAAATGGTAAAAGTATTTAGTTAAAATGTATTTTTTGTGCATGTCACGTGATATGATTGTTGACTTAAACCGATTTTAATTATTATTTAAACAGTTTTTGCCTGCAACTTCTTATGTGTGGATTTTGAATGTAGGTAACTACTTCTAAATAGGTTATCAAGGTAAAACATACACTAGAGGTATACTATTAATTTAAATTCCGAATTTTCGGACCTAATTTCGTATTTTTGTTCATACCGAAATCGGCTCAGTAAATGGAGATTAACATTTCGTTCGTCATAAATTCTAACATAAAAGTCTAAAGAAAAGATATTTTAACATTTTAAATATTTTTCAACGGTATGTATTATATCATTTTAACATCAAATTTGTATTTCGTTCAGTCCCAAAATTTCAGAAAACATTTCATAGTAGGCCCCCTGTTTTTAAGTTACACCTTCAGGAACACAAATGTGAAGACACCAGGGGGAGACTTTGTACAAAAGTCGATTGCTTGGGTACCTCTGCCCCATTCGTGTTTCTACCGTGAAGCAGTTGTTTGCATGGCTGCGTTTCGGTTTGAAGGGTGGGATATGGCGTGAATTTACAGAGTACAGAGGAATAGCACCTGAATCCTCAGGAATGGCAACGCATGGGGAGTATCATGGGCGAAACAGTATACTCTGTTATATCCATGGTACTGCTCATGTCTGTAGGCGACGGTTACCACTTTCCATCAGGTGGGCCGTCAGCTTGTTTGCCATTCTAAGTTGTATAAAAAAAAGACAGTAATGATTAAGTGATAACGGAATAAATCGACAGATAAATGTTCAAAAAACTGTTTTGATTTCTATTGCTCTTATTAGGATTTAAAAGAATGAATAAATGAATGAATGAGTATAGTTTATTTTCATTATACAATATAGGGGAAAAACAAGACAAATTAATAAATTTAACGATACAATTGTATAAGTGCAGTAAGGCGGTCTTATAGCTGAGAGCAATCTTTTCAAGACAACCTTAGGGTAATGGACTAGTTATTGTACAAGTAGGTATGATAATATTACTAAACATAATATAATTTTTATTATTCTAATTTAGGTATGATTATATCTATATTTTAAAACTCCATTCAAATTTGCTAAGCCATTTAAGCGTTATAAATATTTAAACCACTTCACTAACTTCCATGTTTAAGTAACATAACCATTCTACATACCTCCCACTGCAATGCAAGTCAAGTTGACCTCTGTGCCTTCATCATACGGTCCCAGGACTCCATTCCTGATCTCCATGCCGGTTTGGTCCAGGATGATCAGGCGTTCTGGTGGAACTGTTGAAAAAAATAATCTTTTAGACACGAACATCTGGTAGAATAAGAACCATCCTCCTGTCTTCATATCAGGCCTTGAACCGTTTACTGCTGAACATAAGCCTCCCCATGGGGGGTTTTGCCAGTAGTTATATTATTTGTCATTTTTCAAATTTGTGGTTTTTTTTATGTAATTTATAATGGCAAACAAGCTGTACCGTGGTCATCGCAGAGTATACTGTGACTCTTATGAAAATATTTATGTATTACTATTCCTGATTACTAAGATGTAATGTCACTGTACCCTTTAATTACATTTTTCTTTTCATTTAAGAGTTTCCTCTTGTCGGTGCAACTAACTCATGCATCTTCCTCCAGCCAGCTCTATCCCAGGCCATATCCTTTATCTCCCTATACGACATGACGCCTAGTGTTTCCTTTATCTGTCCCATGTATAATTACATTACCATATTTTTATGCTTCAAAATGAAATATATCCATGCAAAAATAGCTGTCTCATGACAAAGTCAAGAGTGGTACAGAGGAAAGAAGGTGGAGGTCCCATGATGATGACTTTTGTACATAATGATCTCTATAGGATGATGCTAATTCGGGCTATATTAGTCACTTTGGTTTGGTCTTAGATTATAAAGATAGAGCATCAAGCCTCAAAAATGGATCAACTTTTTGTCAGCCAATTGTCAAATTAACTGATTCGTTTTAACTTAATGGATGATAATGATAACCCCGCCTGCGTTAAGACGTTGGTGGTAGACGCTGGTGAGGGTCCAGTAACGAATGATAGGTGAGAATGAAAAGCAGGTCAGTTAGCTCATCGTGATGAATACACGTGGAATTCAGCACGGTGGTTTCCAGGGGATATTGCGTGGAAATCGACCTTAAAGGGATTTTTGCTAGTAATGGGATTAGTAGTCTATATTACTAACAATCAATTCCTCCCAGATGGAAAGATTAAGTCGGTGTTTAGGTTTGTTGAATCCATTTTCTTAATTTTTCTTTAGTTTAGTAGTTTAATTTAGTATAAACTTATTACACAGAATAGATAAGAACATAGACTATTACTCAAACTACCAGAGGGAGGTACCCAAGCAAATGACTTTGTACAAAAGTCGTTTGCTTGGGTACCTCTGTCCCATTCGTGTTTCTACCGTGAAACAGTTGTGTTTGCATGGCTGTGTTTCGGTTTGAAGGGTGGGATATGACAATGAATTTACAGGGTACAGAGAAATAACACCCGAGTCCTCAGGAATGGCAACGCATGGAGGGTATCATGGGTGAAACAGTACACTCTGTTATGTCTATGGTACTGCTCATGTCTATAGGCGACGGTTATCACTTTCCATCAGGTGGGCCGTCAGTTGTTTGCCATTCTAAGTAACATAAAAAAAAGCATTATGCAAACGAATACGCGGGTAAAAGGGAGTATATAAATATTTTTCTATATGTTCTCATTTCTGTACACGCCGCAGTCGTAAACTTAGCAATGTGAAGCCACGACCACTGTAACAGATAGTGATCGCACGTCACCATAAATCAATAGGAACCCACTAAGCCCTATACAGTTTGTCTCTTCCTTATTTCTTGCTAAAGTTATTGGATTAGAGGTTTTTTTTTTCCTTAGTTCTTTTGTTGTTTTATCAGTTCCGTATAGAAACTGAAGCTAAGGAATTGGGGAAAGATGTAAAAAAGCTGACTCTTGCCGATTCATAAAAATGATTCATACCATATAAACCACTAACTATATCCCGCGCCTTCGGCCTTATTTGTATTGGGATAAGAGCGTATATTTCTTTCAAATTCGATGATTCCAGAGATTAGTGCGTTCAAGCAAACAAACAAATAAATATATATTAGTAAAGATTATGATCGATATGTTTTTTCAAGCGACTTAAAAAAAGGTGCGAATTTTCAATTCGGCTGTATTTTATTGTATTTGTTACCTCATTATTCTGTCATTTATAAACCGATTTGGAAAATTATTTTTTTTATCTGAAGGGATATTACTTTTAGACTGGTCCTATAGAAATTTTATCAAAATTAATTTTTAAAATAAAAAGACATGTTTTGCCACGTTTGACGTCGGTGTTTTTTTATCTTTGGAATAAAACCTTAAATTTTTTGTTAATAGTTGCAAGAAAAAAAAAAAATTGCTAGATGAGAATAGCGCAGAGTCATATTTATGGCATAATATAGGGAAGATCTACATTCATACGAAAACAAAACACAACCGAAACGTTGGGCGAAACAGCTCTTTAATGTCCATGGTACTGCTCATGTCTATAGACGACGGTTACCACTTTCCATCAGGTGGGCCATTAGCTTGTATACCATTCTAAGTTGTATTAAAAAAAATCAACAGTGGATAATAGATGAGTTGTATTGAAAGTATGTACCTGACTAAACAATATTTAATCACTTAGCGTTTTTTAAACACTGCTTTATTTAAACTGTATTTTAAATATGATTTCTAGTGAGACCGTTTATATTCAGCGACTGAATACAACCTCAAGTGCAATCCCGGACAAAATTATTCCCGGGTAACACTAAAACGTAATATTTTCCTACGAATTGAATAAAATGTAGACAATTTAGCAACAAGCGGACTCTAACTACGGGAGGTATCCGTGACACCCCGCAGGCGAGACGTCGGCGACACACGGACGTGTTATGCTTCAGACATATTGCATTCATATTTCTCGTTTCACATTTCACAATTTCTAAGCCAATATGCATGTACAGACGGCATCGTAAGTAAAATATTATCTTTAGCAAATAGAAACTTTTGTATAGTGTAATAGCCGTGTGGTCCCGGCATAGAATTGGCCACACCCTTTCCCGTGGATGTCGTAAAAGGCGACTAAGAGAATTTGATGGTCGAAGGATGGGAAGCAACGTCCCTTATAAAAAACTAGAGTCCAACTCGCCTGCCAAGCGTGGCAAATGCTGGTAATACCCTCGGGGGAGGCCTATGTTCAGCAGTGGACAGTTAACGAGTGATAAGATGATGATGATGATGAGATATTTTGTAATTGTAAAATCTTTATTGTACATAATTCATACGGAATACATTATTTTACATTATACATTGTTATAACAATACATTATACATTATTATACATAGATATTTGTATTGGTAGTGCCAATGTTTGTATCTGTGTCACTTGTGTTTCGACCTTGAAGTAATTTTTTTTAATGGGTGATAAGGGAATAGTAACCCCGCCGGCGCTATCGGTATACGCTGGCGGGACACCAGTGAGGGACGATAGGTGGCGATGAAAGCAGGTCAGTTAGCCCATCGTGACGCATTCCACTAGAATTAACCACGATAATTTCCAGGGGGAACCGTATGGAGGTCGACCTAATAGGGCATATTGCTAGCAATGGGGCTATTAAACTCCATTTACTAACAATCCCTTTCCCCCCACCTTGAAGTAGTTGTACTTGCATGGCTGTGTTTCAGTTTGAAGAATGCTTCAAATGAATTCAAATGCTTCGATAAAAACAGGTTACCTTATTTTTTGATCCATGTGTGACTCAATAGGGTTACCATAATGTTAATTTATTACACAGAATATGGGGGATATTGTATTGTAAGATTAAATTGAAAAATAAAAACAATACAAAAATTTTGAAATAATAGAATTAAATAGTGAGTAATGATTCACAATGATTATCATCTTTACTGATGAAAGAACTCATATATATATATATATATATATATATATATATACTTAGATATAAATGAAAGTATCATTTATATTTATATCTGAGTACAGGCATAAAACATGTTTTAAAATTAACATTTACGTTTTAAAATAATTGATTACTGTATTAATATTTATACAATATTAATTTGAAAGCAATATGTACAATGTATATTTATATTACATATATATTTGCATTATACAATATAGGAAATAAGTAAATCAATAAATATAATGCTACAGTTGTATAAATACAGTAAGGCGGTCTTATAGCTGAGGGCAATCTTTTCAAGACAACCTTTATATTTATGGACGGAACCCTTGGCGTGTGAGTACAACTCGTGTCTGACTGCTTTTTTTTGCCACGAAGCAACCAAACATACAGTCCTTCTGATAGTAAAAGGTCACTGTACCCTATGCCCTGTTTCTTAAATACCATTCCCAGATTTTGGAGTTTTACGACCGGTACATTTAAATTGCCCTTTGCATTATTTACCCAGCTTCACATATAATAATATAACCATAATTTATAGCCCTTTGTGTACAATATACCGAATATAACTCATATTTTCTGAACACACACGTTTTAAAGTCAACAACGATTAATTAGCAATTGTAAATTAAACACAGCTGAACAAGTACAATTGGGCTCGCAAACCATATAAATATTAGTTGTTATAGGCAATTTTATCAGCCATATTGTTTAACGAGAGATTTCCCGCGGTTTCGTCTTTGCAGACGTTGTTTTCTTCTTGTAAGACATAAGGGAAAATGTTTTTTTTGATGGGTGCAAATGGAATAATAACCGTGCCTGCGCTAACGGGATACGCTGGCGGAGCACCAGTGAAATGTGATCGATGATGAGAATGAAAACAGGCCAGTTAGCCCATCATGATGAATTCATCAGGACTTAACCATGATAGTTTCCAGGGGGAACCGCGAGGAGGTCGACCTGGTTGGGAATATTGCTAGCAATGGGATACGTAGTCTTCATTACTAACAATACCTTTCCCTCCAGTGGGTATATATTTATACATGTATTTAAGTAGATATATGTATGTATATTTAATAGAAAGTACGGATATGCATTTATATTATTACTATATTTCGTATATATTTATAATAACAAAACTTTCATCGTACCTCCGATAAAACTGTTCATAACTACTCTCCATCCAAAGGTTGCCTGGAAGAGATCGTTTTAGCGATAAAACCGCCCATTGTTTTCTCAGTGTGAATTGTATGTTTTATATATATATATATATATATATATATATATATATATATATATATATATATATATATATATATATACAGAAAAAGGAATGTTGCGTTGGTTTGGTCATTTGGAGAGGATGGATGAAAGAAGAATTACGAAAGAGATTTATCGAGCAAGAATGAATGGAGATGTCGGTAGGGGCCGCCCTAGACGGACGTATGTCGACCAAATAGGCGACGTGCTGAAGAAGGGCCAAATTAAAAGTACCCGTAACCGGCGAGCGTGTATGACAAGATTGATGAATGTGGAAGAAGCGAAAGAGGTTTGTTTGAATCGAAGCATTTGGCGTTCCATTGTTTCTGCCTACCCTAATGGGAGACAGGCGTGACAGATATGTATGTATGTATGTATATATATATATATATATATATATATATATATACATAAAACATACAATTATATAATTGTTAGGTATAAAATACTTACTGAGTACAGTGAGGTTCAGCCTTGTGTTCTTGGTGGGGGATTTTAGGAAGTCCACCCTGCACCGGTACTGGCCACTGTCTTCTGGTCTGAAATGAAATGCAAAATTTCATTAGCAAAATATAATATAAACAAGATTTGTTATATAAGAAATATTACTATCCTTACTGTACAAGAATTTGTTTTACCCCTCGTCCCTAAATTTGAGGACTAAGGTAAATCCCTCTCGGAGGTGATTACCTCCGGAAGAGTTACCTTCAGAATCCCTGATCCGTGCGTTGTCTAAAACATCATACATTGGAATTACCTATCTACAACTCCCATTCCTACACCAAATCCTTTACAGTGCCACCTGCTAGACTTTGGAATACCCTTCCATGATACCAGAATGGTGCAGACCGTCCATGCCTTCAAAGCCCAAACACCTGATGGAAAGTGGTAACCGTCGCCTATAGACATGAGCAGTACTATGGACATAAGAGAGTACTATACTGTTTCGCCCATGATACCCCCCATGCGTCGCCATTCCTGAGGACTCAGGTGTTATTCCTCTATACTCTGTAAATTCACGCCATATCCCACCCCTCTATATTCAATAGTTATTCTATGTTTACATATAAGTCAATGTACAATATATATATATATATATATATATATATATATATATATATATATATATATATATATATATATATATATATATATATATATATACACATAAATAAATATATAGCATAAACTACGTTATTTTTGGAATCCCTAGAATCGTTAGATGTTTTAGACGTTTTGCTTTGTTTGATACTTATATTTCCCCTGTGTCTGAGTAGATTTTTGTCAGACATTATTTATTTTTATATAATACTAGCTGACCCCGCGAACTTCGTACCGCCTAACAGTCGATTCTGGGGGAAAAAGGATTGTTAGTAATGGAGACTGAGAATCCCATTGCTAGCAATATACCCGACCAGGTCGACCTCCTCGCGGTTCTCCCTGGAAACTATCATGATTAATTCCTGATGAATTCATCATGATGGGCTAACTGGCCTGTTTTCATTCTCATCTATCACCCTTCACTGGTGCTCCGCCAGCGTATCCTGTTAGTGCAGGCGGGGCTAACTAGCCCCATGCTAATATCTTTAAAACTACGCAATATAATAAGTAAAATACTAGGATTTTGAAGTGGTTTTTTTTAAATAGATAGAGTGATTCAAAAGAAAGGTTTATATGTATAATACATGCATAATATTGTAGAGAAACACTGATAAATTTAGAAGTTTCTAATGTTGTAATAAAATCTGGGACCGATGACGCCATTTAGTATCAGCATTGCAACAGTACGAAGCCGGGGTGAATCGCTAGTAAGGCCACAAACGAAATCATTGTCACATTTATAATTTCAGTAAGGGAGCACAACGTTTAGACCGTTAAATATCTGCCTTTCATCTTAAATAATAAGAGATTCTTACACGTGAAATCAAATATTGCCTGGCGCTCGTTCAATAAGGTCCTTTCGCTTTGTCTTTTTCATATATATTGAATTACTTCAGTGGGGCTGCCGTTAAAAATCCTAGACGCACCGTAAAACCCTTTTTCTCGCAACAAAAGGAAATATCGTTTTGATGAGCGTCACGCGCGAATGTTGGCATCGATTGCTTTTTAAAATTGTTTACCAAGTCTGATGTGTAAGTAAAGAGTTGACAGAGATTATGGTAATAAGCTGCTAGAAAGGCTAGCAAGTATGAAACTGATAAAAGTGACTTTTTGTGACTGCATTTAGGGTTGTCAGCTTTTTAATCGACTTCGAAAAGGGGGTTCTTAATTCGCTTGTAATTTTTTTAAATAAATATTTAAATAAAGAGTAGTTTATTCAATTAACATTGTTGCACTTACAAAAAACACCTCTGTCCCATTCGTGTTTCTACCGTGAAGCAGTTGTATTTGCAGTTGCATGGCATATATGGCAGTGAATTTGCAGGGTACAGAGGAATAACACCTGAGTCCTTAGGAATGGCAACGCACGGGGGGTGTCATGGGCGAAATAGCATACTTTGTTATGTCCATGGCACTGCTCATGTCTATAGGCGACCACTTTCCATCAGATGGGCCATCAGCTTGTTTGCCATTTTAAGTTGCATAAAAAAGAAAAAAAAGTTCAGATTTTTCTTTTAAATGTACGAAACACGAAAATCACAAATTGAGAACTGCCTTCTTTTGGAATTGGATTAAAACATTTAAATTCATCGTCAGCTCAAGGCGTGGACCACACAATAAACGGTACACGGCGTTGTTTCATATAATGGGTTTGAAGAAATAAATCACAATTTATCTGTAAATCGGTTTTATATATCCCATCACACAATATCCTTATAAAACGCAAATTAATAATGAATCGGTGAACCATTGGTGTAACGAGGGAAATATTGTATATAGAATTATTTGTAAAGGCTTATACTGCCTAATCCCATAATAATGCATGAGATTAGTGTCGCTTTTTGTATTACGTTGCGGGACAAGGTTAAATTTGGGACACGTTAGTGTTAATGGGACAAAGCATTAAATTAATTTAATCTTTGCACAAAAGCAGGCGACACTTTTGAGGTACTAAAATATATTTTCGGTTTCTTTTTGATGGATGAAAATAAAATGAAGGAGAAATATGGTTATTGGAAAAAAGTATAATTATGACAACGGTGAGGACACCAGCAAAGGGTGAAACGATCAGAATGAAATTTATTTATTTGTAAAAGGAAGCCTACGATTTATTTACATAAAAAATAACTATAAGATAACAACAATAAAGCCACTTATAGGTTTTCACCAATAGACGCAATATACAAAACTTGACAGTGCTTGCCTCAGACAAATAACCTAAAGAGTATAGGATTATTTATTTCAGGCACCCACATACGTGAGTCAAGCGTACGTACTACATAATATAGTGAACAATATAATATAAAACAAATATGCTCAATATAAATCAGATAATACCTAGTCAAAAGTTAGGTAAGTTACAAAATTACTAGAAATTAACCCTAATACTTTTTAGGAGCGACTGCGTAGAGATCATACTGACAGAATATTGCTAGCAATAGCGATTAAGGACATAATTTTCGGTTGTATTTATTTATTTATATAAGATACATTAACAAAATGTTCACAATCATTATCATTTCTAAGGGAAGTTTTGCCAGGAACTGCCACGGTTTTTGAGATGTTTTAAAAGGGGCGCTGTTGTCCATCTCTGTACTATTAAGTTCCTTTAATCGGCTTTTACAAAATCCACAGAAAAGGAAGGGCTGGCCTATTCTATGCCGGGACCACACGGACGATAAATGTTCACAACATTTATACATAATAGATACATGGCTATACGTAAGATTATGGCTAGATATATCATTTAGAGATGTATACAGCTCTCACAAGTGTTTATTTATACTATGGTAATGATTAAGCAATTAATAAAGACTTATTTTTAATCTATATAAATAAGCTTAATAAATTACATTAAGGAATGACCAAAAAGGTCAATATAACGCTTAACGTTTATGGTTACATGAATAAATTAATATTATAATAAAAATATATCTCCGTAATGCATATTATTTAGAATGACAAAGTCAGCGATTAGCCGAACCAGTAATGACTACTCAGAATTCTATAAAATATTCTTTTGTAGTAACATCTTGAGTATATTCTGCGAAAAACAAAATATTCCCTGTTCCCTTCAACATCAATAAATGTCAACGGATAACTTTTTTACGACGAAGTTTTACGCACATTATTATGTCTATAACGTTTTGAGATTAACTTTGAACCACGTAAATTACAGTATTGAAAATTACGTGGTTTAAATTAAAATCGTTCGGATTACCTCCTAGAATCCTGTCACCGAATTCTCCGTAGCCTTTCAATCATTGACTGACCTTGACCATGTCTGTGAGTATATTATTAATATTTGTAAAGATGTTTAGATGTTTGTTACTCAATTAAACCATCAAAAATTTAAAGAGGGGATATATCTTTACACAAAAATCGTACATAAATACCTGTGTCCCATTCGTATTTTAACTATTAATCTGTGGTGCTTGGTTATTTGTATTTCTATTTCCAGGATTGTTTAAGTTAGTTAAATTATTGGGTAATATGGCAAAACCTCAATCCCTAATATTGGCAAGTAATAAATTAAATGTCTGATCGTTTGTTATTCTAAATGTATTGAAAAGTAAATTGTTAATTTGATAGTGGGAAAGTGTGTTGATATTGTCCCAATGTCCCATTTAAGCACTTGTCCCAATCGGGTGGCAACCCTATAAGATACTGTTACACAATTAAAGCGTAATAGTATCCTAGTTCATTAATTATGTACATTAGATCCTTCAAAGATAACAATGTCGGATGTTAAGACAGTGTTGAGGTAAAAGCAAATGAACATAGTACTGTCTATATACGATATCCTTGGACGGGTTGACAATGGTTAGGGTTGTCAATTCTCACACAAGGGTCGAAGGATTAATGCCTGCACAGTGATTTAAAATTTACATTAGTAATTTTTTTATTGTGATTTTTACTTATTTATCATTACTTAAATAAATATATGTGTACTTATAATTACAGATGGGCAAAGCACCGGGTTTAAACCCGGTGCTTTGGTAAAAACCCAATAAACACCCATAAACTCCCATAATCACCCAAAAAAATAGGTTTTTACGTATTTTTTTGAAAATATGTAAGTAATACCAATAAATTATTTTTATAAATTGTATTGATCAATTCTACAATATTAAATAAAACGTTAACTAATAATATTTCAGGAAATTTTAAAAATCTATATATAATAAAATGAAAGTAATTAATTTTCAGTGTTTTCATGTTGCAGTTGATCAACATGTTGGCCTTTTGCTTCCCGTAGATACTTTAAAATTTCTTCATAACACCTCGTTCGCACACATGGCCGTATATATTTAAATTCTTGAGCCACTAACAGTCCGAAATACTCATTTCTTTTATCCTCTTCTCCATAAATTAAGCATTTAGAACAGTTTGTTTCTTCTTTCAGTAAATTTTCTTTTACTTTATCCTCGTTTTTTTCTTTGTTGCGACGACGCTGGGTAAATCATCTGGACACTGGGTCTCACTATCGCCAAATATATTTGGAGATCGGCTTCGGCTACGGCTTGGCAGACATTTTTTTCTTTCTACAATTTTAAATTAAATTTATTAGAATAAATGCTTCGAACACACGCGATCTAAGTACCTTTTGTGTTTATTATACCTTACCTACCTAGGTATAAAAAGAGTACTTACGTAGATTTTCTTTTATTAACTGTTTTATACGAAGATCTTGATCTCTCAAATTAGCATCCATTTTACTTCCAGTGATTATCAACTAAATTAATAATCCACAAAGTATTAAATAACGTTTTTATGAAATATTTAGCACAAAAACAATACCCTTTAAATATCGATCGTCAGTAACTGTGGCTGACTTACCTATATTCTAGCAAGCAGGACTGCCAGATGTGAAGGGGAAATCCCCAATAAATTGTTGCATGTGACTGATGATGTGAGCATGTTCGTTTCATAATAAAAATGTTGCCAGGTAACCAAAAAGTCGTATGTTTTTGTGCGAATTACGATCATAATCTTTACGATCGTACATTAAAAAATAGACAAATAATAGTATGAGTACGATTTAAATCGTATATCTGTCAACCCTGCTAGCAAGACAGCGACAAAATCACGTTGCATAACAATGTAGCCCAAGCTTATATCTTATGAAATATACGGAAGAGATACGGACTTAGAAAAAACAGAAATGTTGTTCTTTGTGGAAGTCATTGATGAAATTCTATGTATTTTAGCCCGCAAACTTTCTTCAAACAAAAACAGCGCCATCTAGTATCGAGTTCTGTAATTATCTCTTTGTTTATGGATTTGAAGTAAGACCGCCACGCATGCAATACATTATGACTGGGGATTCCCCTATTCGTCGACGCTGAATATGAGGCGACGACAATCACTGTCAAACGTGTTCACTATTACTCTGACTCTGGTAACGTGACTTCCTGGTAACGTGTTAGGTAGGAAAAGCAGTAAAAAAGTGCATATTAAGGGAGCAGATTTGAAATAATATTTATACTTAACAAGAAATAATTAAAGGTAAGTGGATTTTTGAATGATACAATTATATCATGATCACTTAACAATTTTAACTTAAAATTAGATGTATTATTACAAGCTTTTATTTAGCTTGCGTTATGTAAATAAAAGTATGTAGGTATGTTCGTATGTTGATGCAATTATCCTCAATCCTCAACCGACTGGGATAAAATTTTCCATACACGTTTATTTTGGATGATAGTGCATAGTTAGCTGAGAGTCGTCATTGGATAATAATGGTGGATAGCCTAAGATGTGTACTAGATATTTATTTTTAACATAATATGCGTAAGTACCTAATCGAATTAAAGAAGTTGCTGAGAAAAATACAGAACAATACGATAATAAACTAGCGTCTGCGTTTAATCCTCCGAGGAGATGTAATTTTACAAAGGTTTTTTGTATTTATTTTATTATTTTTTTAATAAATTTATTGTAAATAACAAGAAATAATCATTGTAAAAAAATAGGCACTCTATTGTTGAATTTTCGTCAGACCAACTAATCATCGTTCATTTTTTTAGGTTCAATGGGGAGACCTAAAGATTTACGCATATGGGAGCACTACCGTACTTTACCAAACAAGTCTGTTTCTTGCAAGCTTTGTAATAAGGTCTACAAATTCAGTAATGCTGCCAAAATGCTTCAACATCTTATCACTTGTCCAAAATCTCCAGAAACATTAAAAGACTCTATGAAACTTATAAAAGATAGCTCGTCCAAAACCAAAATGTCTGGACTGTCAGAGATAGAGACAAATGATTCTTTTATAAGCCCCTCGTCGTCTGCTAACACTACAATAAATGCTGAGTTTCAAGACACCGATGATCATATAAAAACAGAATTAGCGAGAGCTATATTTGTAACAGGGACGCCATTATCGATGGTGCAACATCCTTTATGGATACAATTTTTCGAAAAATTGCAACCAAAATTTAAAATACCTTCACGTAAAGCTTTAGCGACAAAATACTTAGATAAAATATATAGAGAAATGCGTTTTGAGTTAAATGAGGAACTAAATGCTTGTAGTTACTTACACCTTCAGTGCGATGGCTGGTATAATTTAAGAAATGAAGGAATAATAAACTTTCTTATATCAAAACCTCAACCTGCATACGTTAAAAGTTTGAATACAGAAAGTAATCCTCACACTAGTGAATACCTTAGCCAAGAAGTTGAAAAAGTAATGAAAGTGTATGGAGCAAATAAGTTTCTTGTACTTATTGGCGATAACGCTAGAAATATACAAAAGGCATTCGAATTAACAAAACTCAAATATCCACATGTTGTTCCTCTCGGTTGCTGTGCACATATCCTTAACTTGTTGTGCCAAGATATTGTAAAGATACAAGAAGTAACTGTGTTTATTATGCAAGCCATAAATATAATAAAAACTGTTAAAAGGAGTCAACGATTAAGTTCCTTGTTGATAAAATCAAGGCAGGGTGAAGATTCTACACAAACACTAAAATTGCCTTGTGCTACAAGATGGGGAAGTCATGTTACTTCGTTAAAAAGTTTGAAAGCAAATAAGATAGCTTTGCAAATATTAACAGTTAGAGAAGATGTGGTAATTTCAAGAGATATTAAAGATTTAATTCTAAGTGATGATTTCTGGACGAAGACAGGGGAATGTATAAGTATTTTGGAACCAGTCACTGAAAGCATATTTTACTTAGAGAGCGACCAGAATCGTTTGCATCGCACATACATTACATTTAGAGATGTACAAGCTAAGATACGTTTTGCATTAAATGAGATTTCGACATTGAGCGAAGAAAGCAAACAGCAGATTCTAACATCAGTATCTTCAAGATGCAATATGGCAATGAGGCCAATACATTTTGCAGCATATATTCTAGACCCCAGGACTCTAGGAGTCGAACTTACTCAAGAGGAAGAACTTAAGGGTATGGAGTTTATCTACAATTTAAGCCAACACTTAAGTTTGTCAAATGTAATGGCAGATTTGGCGTGTTATAAAGCTAAAGAAAACTTTTGGGCCAGAGGATTTGTATGGAGCTCATTAGATAGCATTGAGCCCCTAATATGGTGGAAAGGTATTTGTGGTTCCACTGAGTTAAGCAAAGTAGCGATTCGTATTCTATCAGCTCCCTGTACTTCGGCAGCCACTGAGCGTTCCTTTAGTATCCAAGGCTACATACATAATAACAAAAGAAATCGACTTACAACTGAAAGAACTGAAAAAATTTCATTCATTTGTTATAACTGGAATCTTAAACATAAAGCTGAATGCGAGGACATTCAGTTTAATGAAGAAAATACCTTAGAAGCTTTCATTGAGCAAGTAAATGAACATAACAGTTTAGACGAAATAGAGCCTATCGAACCTATACAATTCATCGCTTGTAATAACTCTGAATCTGACAGTGATTGACTGTAGTTTTACATTTTACTTTCATCTCTTTCTTAATAAACTCAAAATCAAATTAAAAGTTTTTTATTCTGTAGGCTGCATAATAATATTGTCTATGTCCAGTATAGTGGACGTCTTGCGGCTGAGATGACGATGATGAAGTACAAAATCATAAACACCCAAAAATTTGGGTGTTTATGGGGTTTAAACCCAATAAACCCAAAACACCCGGTTTTTACCCACCAGACTTTAAACCCACCCAGGTGGATTGCCCATCTCTACTTATAATACATGTATATGTTAACAGAGATTTAAAAGAGTAACTGTTGAGTTTCTCGGGTACTAAAAATGACGATTTAAAAGTGCTTGTTAACGAGTTTATTTGAGTAAAGATGATTTGAATTTGAATCTATACTAAGCAGCTCGATTGTAAATTATTTACTTTATGTTATGTAAACGTAATATCTTAGGTAAATGTACCAATTGAATCTCCTTTTTTTTTCTTTTAGCGAATTAATTACGACGTCTTCTAACAGAGACCGTGTAGAGATGGACCTGGTAAATGTATATTGCTAGCAATGAGGACTACTCACCTCCTTATCAATATTTTTTTTTATGCAACTTAGAATGGCAAATAAGCTGACGGCCCACCTGATAGAAGTGGTAACCGTCGCCTATAGACATGAGCAGTACCGTGGACATAACACAGTATACTGTTTCACCTATGACACTGTCATATGCTGGATTGGAAGCATAGACATTTATTTTTAATACTCTCACCAAAACAATAAACGTAAATAATTTGGTTTGCATTAGACAGACATCTAAAATAGCCATCTAACTTAATTTAGTGAGAATCAGATAATATTAACTTGGTGAGATTTAAATAAATATCAATGATATGGGATATGGCGTGTATTTACAGGGTACCAGAGGGAGATTTTGTACAAAAGTCGATTGCTTGAGTACCTCTGTCCCATTTGTGTTTCTACCGTGAAGCAGTTAGTTGTGTTTGCATGGATGCGTTTCGGTTTGAAGGGTGGGATATGACTTGAATTTACAGGGTACAGAGGAATAACACCTGAGTCCTCAGGAATGGCAACGCATGGGGTGTATCATGGGCAAAACAGTATACTCTGTTATGTCCATGGTAGTGCTTATGTCTATAGGCGACGGTTACCACTTTCCATCAGGTGGATCGTCAGCTTGTTTGCCATTCTAAGTTGTACAAAAAAAAAATTGTGAAAATGAGATGTTACAAATACCTTAATTTGGTGAGAATCAGCACAGCCGGCCTGGTTTCGCTTCTGAAGCTCGCTCTGCTACCCAAGATAGATGGGTCTGAGTAGTGCGACATTTCCTCCCGCGTATCAAATCTGTGGACAAAATAAATAGAAATAGAACAAAATAGTAATAAAAATTTTATACCAACCGAATTCGAAAAAAAGAGGATCTCAATTGGGTTGCATTTTTTTATGTTTGTTACCTTATAACTAAAAACTAAAAAGGTTAAAAATTGATTTGGAAAATTCTTTTTTTATTCGAAAAGATATACTTATAGATTGGTCCCTCATGCATATTTTTTTGTGGAAAATATTTTCCAAGTACGGAAAAAGTAAAATAATAATAATAATTCTAATAAGAATTTAAACACATATACAAAAAATGACTGAAAAACTATTTACATTTGTATTACACTTGGATAAAAAAGCTGTAGATATTGCCTTTTATATATATTTTATATAAAAGTTAAACTTTGTTTTAAGGCGGAAGCTGCTGGCTATCTCTTGACCATTAAGTTTATAATTATAAGCATATTATCCATTGGAAAACGTATACTTAACAATCAGAAAAACAGGTAAATAGATATAAACATAAAAAGAACAATGGCTGGTTCATCATCACCATACCAGCTGTAAATTGTCCACTGGTGTACATAGATTTCCCCCTATTGGGAGGTTTTACCAGTAGTTGCCACACTTAGCAAGTGGGTTATTGCGGTTAACACAAAACTCCGAGTAGCAATCTAATAATTTACCCGAATATGTCTCATTTAGAGGTAAAACACGTATCGCCAAAACCTGCGTGAACAAAATGGCAGTAGGAGATTGTGGAACTTCTGGTAGTAATAGTGGTGATCAATCTTTGAGCGTTGGCAGTCACACAAATACTAATGATAGCGGAATTAAACAAAATAATTCTAATCAAATAACCAGTGATATATATGGACTTCAGCAAGATAACAGCTAGTTTATCAGAGGGAGACTGTACAAAAGTCGATTGCTTGGGTACCTCTGTCCCATTCGTGTTTCAACCGTAAAGCAGTTGTGTTTGCATGGCTGTGTTTCGGTTTGAAGGAATATGCCGTGAATTTACCCTGTAAATCTGTAATGTACAGGGGAATAACACCTGAGTTCTCAGGAATGGCAACGCATGGGGGGTATCATGGGCGAAACAGTATACTCTGTTATGTCCATGATACTACTCATGTCTATAGGCGACGGTTACCACTTTCCATCAGGTGGGCCGTCAGCTTGTTTGCCATTCTAAGTTGTATAAAAAAAATAGTTTAGTAGAATAGGACAAAGCCCATCAAGATTTGTGAATAAAATGGTGAAATTATGGTTACAAGTGCTCCAATTTCATAATAAAAAAACATATAAGTATATCATAATATAGTTATAAAACCGTCACACTATCAACGAGTACAAATTTTGATTACATTTCTATGTTACAGAGTGTTATTTTTTTATTACGTTAAGCCGTAACGCATATTGAACTCTAAACAAAAAAAGCTTCGTAACACGGAGACATTTTGCTCATTCTAAAAAGAAATATAGACATGAACTAAGTCAAAATATGTCCGATACACGACTACTTGTCTCGTATACACATTAGACTGAAAATATTAGAGTTAGAAAGCGAAATCATGAAGATAGAGATGCCAAAACAATATTTTTCAAATTTTTTTACGATTGTTTTATACTCTGTCTCTTTGTTTGTATGTTTATTCAGCATTACGCAAAAACTACCGCTTCAAAATGGACGTGGTAGTCACAGGTACGTACCTGGAGGCCTTACTTAATAAAAGATGTAGATTTTATCTTAACACATCAAGTAAACATGGTACATTTCGTTTGGTTTTCCTTATTCTGAAATGTACTATGGAATGAGCTCTTCGTAAAGGTTTTATCAAGAGACTACAGTATGGGGTTCTTCAAAAATAAGGTAAAACGGTTTCTTTTTTCAGCGTAACGCTCCTGGTATTGCAGGCGTTCAAAGGCTACCGAATTGCACCATCAGGAAGCCCGTATGCTTGTTTGCCATCTCAGTGGCATAAAAATTCTTACATCTCTAAAATGTAATAAAAAATGCCGAGGGCTGCAATACTTAGTTGTAGCTGGGTGCGAGGCACCCAATTGGAGCGCAAAGCAGTTCGGGTTCAGACTCCATCTTGGATGGCCACTTCAAATAATCAATTACTTCAATACTTAATAATAATTCAATACTTTTTATTATAAATTATTAATTTAAAAAAAAAAGCAAAGCCCTAATGACATTATAACAGTACGAAGTAACGGGTGTAAAGCTAATATTTATAAACGTTTATATTTCGCCGGCCATATTAGAATCCATCGTGACAAAATTTAGTAATATAAAAAAAAAATATAATGGACAACTACGTATCTCACTATACGTTGCCCCTACACATCAATACAGCCGACGTCCGTACCGGAATCTCTTCATCACGACGGACCCTGGCGTCTATAAAAAATAATACGTACAATATCTGACAGCCGAGCGGTCGGTGCGTTCTGATCGTATCGAGTACAAGGATCATGTCCGATTCTGACGTGTATGTGACATCAAAATTAACTGATAATGCTTCCATTTATCTATGTATCGTATGATGATATCAGCCGTACTGTCCACTGCTGAACATAGTCCTCTTCCTTGTGGGAGTGGTTGCCATGCTTGGCAAACTGATTGGCAACCACAGTTAGGCTTTAAGAAGGACGCTGCTGCCCATCCCTCTACTATTTACTTTAGTCGTTTCTTATGAGACTTACGGAAAAGAAGCGGGGTGGTCTATTCTATGCCGGGACCACACGGATATATATATTTATTTAATTATTACAATTTATAAAAGCGAAAACTGATGAGTATGTATGAATGTATGTATATGGTTTACTACTTTCCATCAGGTGCGTAAAGCTTTTTAAAGTTACATAAAAAACTATTTAAGTTCTTTTTTTTTGTAGTTTTTCTGCGCTAGATTATTCTTTATTATGCTACTTAGACTAGCAAACAAGCTGACGGTCCACCTGATGGAAAGTGGTAACCGTCGCCTACAGACATGAGCAGTACCATGGATATAACAGAGTATACTGTATCGTCCGTGATGATGATGAAGATGCAAAAATTATAAGACAAACTAAATATAGAAGTTATAAAGGAATCACTCATAACTATTTATCACGCAAAATTGTATGAAAATGTTGACCCGCTTTTCTTGAGGAATTTGTATGGAGACATTTTATTTATGTAATATAAGATGTGTACCAAATTTCCTAATAATGAGTTCAGTTGTTAAGACGTGGGGGAAAAGGATTATTAGCAATGGAGTTTGACAGCCCCATTGCTAGCAATATACCTTATTAGGTCGACCTCCACGTGATTCCCCCTGGAAACCATCGTGAATAATTCTTATTGAATTCGTCACGCTGGGCTAACTGACCTACTTCATCCTCATCTATCATCCTTCACTGGTGCCCCGCCGCTGTATACCGATAGCGCGGGTGGGGTAACCATTCCATTATAATCCGTTTAAAAAAAAAGTTGTTAAGACGTTAAGAGGGAACAAACAAACTCATTTTCACATTTATATATTATTAAATAAAGATTATAGACCACCAGCTGTTTTCAAAGTAACATGTTTAACAAAAGGAACCCGAAGGCAAAATCTCTTCTTTGTATCGTATTTTATATTATATGTTAGAAACAGTATAATGTTGTTTTACATAATAATTATTATAATTAACATCTGGTCGATATCGGGCTGTGGTATAAATAAAAGGTCGTTCATAAAATACACAAAGCGCCATCTATTCTCAAAGTGAGGTATACTTGTATATACTAGCCTAAGACAGCGATTCCGGGGGGAGAAGGGATTGTTAGTAATGGCGACTAGTAGTCCCATTGCTAGCAATATACCCTGTCAGGTCGACCTCGTCGTGGTTCCCCCCGGAAACCATCATAATTGATTTATTGTTAGATTCGTCACGGTGGGCTAACTGACCTGCTTAATCCTCACCTATCATCCCTTCCTGGTACCCTGCCAGCATATACCGATAGCGCAGGCGGGATAACCATTCCATAATCAACCATAAAAAAAAATACAAGGATTCCTAAAGTGTATTCCGCGGAACCTAGTGGTAAAAAAAACACCAGGGTTCCATGAAATTTGTTGTTGAGTTGTGACCATTTTGTGTTACTGTAGCACACGCATGAAGGGAAAAATTGTTACTTCTTTTATGCATTTTGTTTCTTTATTGTTTGTATATGTATTTTTTTATTTATGTCCATTGTTATTTGTGTGCTGTAAGTAACGCAAGTAAATTATCTATTTATCTAAATTATTTATCATTTATAAATTATAATCAACTTCCAGCAGCAGTATTTCCGAACCGATATGACATCACAGCCTTCAAGAAAAGACCATATTCCTTTTTAAAAGGTCGGCAGCACACCTGCAATGCCTCTGGTATTGCGAATGCTCATGGGCGGCAGTAGTCGCTTACCATCATGTGAGGCCCATGCACGTTTGCCCCCTGTATTGTGTTGGTTGGTTGGGGGGTGTTGCCCCGTTTGGCAGGCAGGTTGACAACCGCAGTTAGACTTTGGTGATGTTTTAAGAGGGACAGTGCTGCCCATGACTCGATCATTAAGTGCCCATAATCGCCTCTTACGAAACCCACGGGAAAGGAAAGGGTGGCCCATTCTATGCCGGGACCAAACGGCAACAAAATCTACTAGTTAATAATTAGGACCATGATACTGGAATATCAAAACCACCAAAAACGTGGTCTTGGCACATTACAACTTTGTTTCTTTAATCGTGTTTTACACACCAGAGGGAGACTTTGTACAAGTCGTTTGCTTGGATATCTGTGTCTTATTCGTGTTTCAACCGTGAAGCAGTTGTGTTTGCATGGCTGTGTTTCGGTTTGAAGGGTGGGATATGGCAGTGAATTTACAGAGTACAGGGGAATAACACCTGGATCCTCAGGAATGGCAACGCATGGACTATAACATGGGCGAAACATCATACTCTGTAATGTCCATGGTACTGCTCATGACTATAGGCGACGGTTAC